AGAGAGAGAGGGAGAGAGAGAAGGGGAGAGCCTCAGCACTTTCACACGAGAGGCTGAAACTTTCATACGGTTTATCTGGCTCGGTACCGCACGCACGAGAAGCGAGCGTTCCCTTTTCCCGTTCTTTTTTTTTCTTCCTTCGCGGGATATAATTTTCTATTATCACGTAAACGCGCGTCTGCTCGCTTCCAGTTTCCCAGCTGATTTGCTGAATCGCATTACCCTTCTTTTTTTGCTCGCGCCGACCCGCTCGCCATGCATTATTTATTGTGCCCGTTGCCGCACGGTAATAAAAAACGAAAAGGAAGGGAGAAAAAAGAAAGGAGAAAGAAAGAGATTGTTGTACCACGATGAATTCTCCCGCGACGTTGACGAGTGGTTCACCGTTTTCTTTTTCTCTCTCTTTCTCTTCTCCTTTTATCGGAAAAGTCCGCTTATGCGAATTTGTGCTCGGGGGAGGGACAAATTTGCTCGTACACATATGAGGTTCTCACAAGTAGAGATTTTATTTCGTTTTTGTCCTTTCTCTCTCGGAACTTGTATGATATATATACTTGTATATATACATTTGGCATATTTTCTTTGGCGTTTGCATAATCTCTGTTCTTCTTTTTGCGGATTTTCACGATTCGTCAATTTCAGAGTTGACTTTTTTATTATTCTCACATATAAATTAGCTGACTAGGTTGATTTCTAGTTAGACTGGAGTTTTTACGGTTTTTATGGTTATTATAGTAGATATTATAATGGACTTTATAATAGGAATTATTATTAATTACTAGTTATTGTAGTTATTATAAATTATTATTAATATTTTAATTATAAATTATTATTACTCTAATTTAAAAAAAGAAGAAAATTTATAAAAATAAAGTTTAACTTGATAGTAAAATAAAAGTAAAATCATACGTTGACTAGAAACTCTTACTAGTCACCATGTGTTCGTATCATATTTGTTGATCGTGGAACTCGCTTTTGGAAATAGATTTCCTCTCTTTATGTAAGAGGAAGTAATCTAATAGCCACGCGACAAGCAGAACGATCTCGACAACGCGATCGTAGCTTTCATTTGTCCACTTTTGTCCAGTCGTGGTCATCTTGGCAAGAGAAGTTACGTGTAATCCACATTTTGACAATTTTATTTTTGGTGTGCTTCACTATCGCGTGCCATAAATATACAATCGTCTTGAAAATTTCAACAAATTAAATTATATGTATTATATTATATTATTATTATTATACTAAATCATATTTTAGAATGTATTATACTAAATCATATTTTAGAATGTATATTTCTTGTAGTAATTATATGATGTTTAAAATTTAATTGTATTATAATATAATGTAAAAAATTTAATAATATTATATTATAACATAATATGAAAAATTTAATAATATTATATTATAATATAATATAAAAAATTTAACAGTATTATATTATAATATAATATAAATATTTAATAATATATTATAATATAAAAAATTTAATAATTTTATATTATATGATTTTAAAAATTTCTTATAGCAATCTTATATTTATAAAATACCAAATGAAACGAACAATCATTTTTTTTGAAGAGCGTGAGAACGATCATTAATTGCCAGATTTTAAATTGGATTTAAATAGCCACGTTCCGCTAATGATCTTTGTCTCTTGAACAAAATTCCTGTTGCACGAAAGGCAAACACAAGCTAGAGACGTTAAAACAAATCTTTAAGAATGTAGTGCAGATCTACGTGGATCTTTTTTCACGTGATTAACTTTTGCGTGGTTTGAAAGTATAAGAGTACAAGATTCATATGCTTACGATTGATTATAGGCATGCGATAAGCAATTAGCGCGGCTTTAGCAACGCAGATAATCTTTTCCCCTCGGTGAAAATGAACAAAATGAAAGAAAAAAGCTAAGTCGTAAAACGTTAAAATGCTAAGTTTCCTTATAAATTTTAGTGAAGCGTTTCTTTTTACTCAAATACACATCTGGCAGAAAGTTTTTCAATCGAACGCAAATATATGAAGCATTAAGAAACATTGAAATATAAAATAATTAGTAATATTAAATAATTAGAAATAATAAACATTGAAATATTAAGTAATTAATTACGTAAAATGCTGTTTTTCGTCACTGGTTTCCCAATCTTTTGAGTATAATAATTTTTCTGTATTTATAAATTCATGTTTTTTTTCTGACAGTCTTTTACACTTTAGTTTCTATCTTAATTCATCACACACATTTGTAAAGATGAGAACCAATTTGTCATTTTTTATTACTAATTCTGTAATCGAAGACTGTAGTCTTTGGTCGAGAAACAGTCTGATCAACAAGTTGAAATAAAATTGATGATTTTTATTAAATTCTTTAATATGAAATATTTCTGATACTTTCAAATATGTGTTTGTGTATGTATTTGTGTTTAATTGACAATCTCTTGATTCTTATTTATCTCATTTATCTGAAGAAAGATGAATTCTCTTTGATTGGTCCTTTCTATTAAAATTGTAAAAGAGTTAATTGTAAAGAGTTCTTGTAAAAAGTGCTATAAACGTCAAATTTTCTTCAAGAGGAAGAAAAGAAAGTCACTATTTATCTAAATTTGCAATAATATAATTTAATATAATTTACTATATATAATTTTTATTTACTATTAGTAATATAATTAATATAATTTACTATATATACTACTATAATAATACTTTTATACTATACTATAATTTTATAAACTTACATTATAATAATACCCATTAATAGGTGATAATATTAACCAGTTACTAAATTATTCGTGTGCGGAAAGGCAAAAATATATTATTTTATTATTTCTATTAAGTAGAAAAAAAGTTTTTATTTTATTATTTCTATTACTGGCGGTTCTATTACTGAAAATTTAGCGTTTGTCGTCTGTCAGTGTTTTTTGTGAAAAAGAAAACGACATCCGGATCAGACATGTGTAATTTCGACTTGCTCAAAATATATTGATTATTATAGCGGTTAATAGGGCTTAGGACCAACCTCGTTTCATAATTACATATTCCATTTGCGCTTGCCCTAACTGTAGTAACCAATAATCTGATTTATAGACCATAATCTAAACGCTGTTCTCCATTGTTTTGTTCCACTATTATTTTTCTATCATCTATTGTTCTATCGTGTGAAGTACTCAGAAGCTAATCAATGTACACAAGTCATGTCTCATTAAAAGCAATTTATGTCACGCGAATTTCCTTTCGTTGTCAGTTCTAATATTTCTTACTTACTATAATAGTCACTTGCTATATAGTAATTAACTTTAAAATTACCAGAAGTTTGATATTGAATGAAGGGCATGTTAAGGAACAAATTGAGAATGATCAAGTTTATGGCTAAGAAAAAATTAGGATCACTTGCAATTTTCAACGTTTTTCGCACTTCCAGTGAAATTTCCAAGTCTGACTGTAATTTGGCAATCATTTTTATTTTATTTTGGTAATAATATTAATTTTTTGTTAATTAATAATTTGCAAGGACTCGATAATTGTTGCTTGAACTTATTAGCTTAGCTAATTTTTAAGTTCTCGAAACTCGAACTTGGAAACATAGTAATATCCACCAATTATTTATTCTATTATTAATACTAATATAATAATAATTTTAATTATTAATATTGTAATATTATTAGTATTAATACTATAATTTTAACTGTTAATATTACAATATTATTTATATTAATATAATAATAATAATTTTAATTATTAATATAATTATTTTAATTATCATTCTAATTATTAATATTAATAATTTTATTACATTTATTAATATTTATATATTATATATTAATTTATAATATAATATAATATTTATGTATTATATATTTATTATAATTTAATAACGTTACTTTTTTATTTTGATTGTAATAATCACGTTGTTCCTGGTTTCAACACATCAAGCTCTCCTTTTCCGTCTAACTTCAATTTCCTCTCTTTCTCCAACTTCCAATATTTACAACTTTCCTTCACATTTTCATTCTCGCCAACCATTTCTCTCGCTTCTTAAAATAGAAAATAGTAAGAGTAAACTTGGCGTTATCGACTAGATTAATTTAACACTAGAAATTGACCCGAAAACCAAACCGTGGATCATTTCGAGGATTCATGAAAATGAAATTCCCTGTTGCGGACGCAATTTCGTTTTAGAAAGCTACAGAACGAAACGCAACGTCTGGATCTTTCTCGTTCTTTCCTTTTTCATCTCGGCTTTCGTTGCGATTTTACGAGTCTTTGTCTCGAGCCGTATCGGCTCCGTAGAAGAATGTTTGCCATTTTCCTTTGTAAACAGTATTTTTACTCGAGTGGATTTCCCCAGCGAGAGAGAAAGTCGGGAGGGAACCGCGGCGAACACACGAGGACGATGGCAATGAATGTCTTCTTTTATTTTCATTTCCGGAATTGTGGGTCAAGTTCTTGCCCGAAAAAACGGCGACAGTTGCTGCTGCTGCGTGTGCTCACGAAAGCTTCGCCTGCTGGCGTGCCTCTCACGAAGGTGAAAGTTCGCTCCAACGATCGTCTTCCAGGATCGTTTCCGTGATTCATCCGATACGCAGTGGCTTCAGAAAGTTTCGTCGTATATTTTAAACTGTTATCAACTTCGCAATTTTCAGGGACCGTTGCAAGGGAGAGACTTCAGTCTTTGGTGGACCTCCGTTCAAACATTTTAAAACACTTTTTATTTTTAACATTCAATAATAAGAGAATAAGAGAATTTTTAGATCGCATGCGTATCTTATAATGCAATTGTTAATGTATTAATATTCTTATCTTTAGCTAGTTAATATTCTTTATTCAGAAATTTAATTCCTGAAATTTCCATTGGCAAACTAATTTTTAAGACGAAAGAAACAATGACTATTCAAAATAACGAAATGAAAAGAAGATGCATAATATGCTAAAATTACAGAGAGATGAAAGCTTCGTTCTGCAACTCGTATCTAAGTGTGCTGATTTTTTTACATGTGATATTAATGTTACAGCTGGGCAGTTTCTACAGTAATGACGAGGCAGAACCTAATTCCAAGCGAGGATGGTTCACGCATGATCCACGCTTTGATCCCAATGTGGGACATGTGCAATCACGAGAACGGGAGAGTGAGTTTAGTCTCATACACGTTTTGTATGTGTTGATATACTATCGTTCTCAGGTATCTAGAAATATACAGTTATTCACGGAAGTGAATTCGAACACTTATTGGAACCTTTTAAAAATATATATTACTTGTACTAAAAATATATATTACTTGTACTAAAACGTTTTCAAATTTCATGAATATTGTAATGAGATACAACTGATCATGATTATATTGGTCGAGTTCAAGATAGATTTAAATATATATATATTTAATACAAGTACAGCTTACAGAAAGTATTTGAACATTTTATTATATAAAACATTTTGAAGTTTCATTAATATTAATATAATAAGATACGACTATTACAATTGATCAAGCTTGAAGCAAATTCAAAAATATATGTATATAAGAATTACAGGATTTATTTAAACAGCCATCATTAGCATGTATCAATAGGAATCTTCAATACTACATAATATATGTAATTTTCTGACTAGCATATATGTCTATTTAAAGTTTAAAAAAACGTTCAGATATCTTTGAACGATAGTATATAATATATATTATACATATATTACTGTGTATTATACACAGAAATCTGAACAACTTCTGTATCTGTCTGTTTTCATTTTAGATCACCACTGATTTCAATGCAACATCAAACTACTGTGAATGTTACGCTTTGAGAGATTTCAAGAAAGGAGAACAAATATTTATTAGCTATGGACCCAGAACGAATTCCGACTTCTTTGTACATTCAGGATTCGTTTACATGGATAACGAACAAGTATATCATTTCTTTTTAAGATACTTTAATTATTGTATTACAATCACGTTAATTTTTAATATATTGTTTATGGGAATATGGGTTATTTGCAAATTAAAAATTTCTTTGGACATTTATTTATTTTAGTATTAGGGATGTGTCAATACTTAGAGATACATTAATAATAATTAGGGATATATTAATAATTGTTAGTTTAGAATATAGGGTTGTAGGCCATTTAAACTTCTACTTATAATTAATGGTAGAAAAATTTCCAATATTATTTATTATTTCAATAAATCAACATACATAAAAGAAAATTGTAAAATAAATATAAATAATTTTTGTTTCTATGCGTCATATAAAGTAAATTTTTTCCTAGTATTCTGAATGGTCCCTGGATGCTCTATGTGTTTCTATGTATTTCTATCTACAATTATTATATTTTCAATAATAGTACAAACATTGTCCATATAATTAACAAATTTTTTAATTCATTGTTTTTTTTATATAATTTGATTTATTACGTCTTGTCTACAGCAAATATGATTGTACCAATTATATCAATCACTACATAATAATGTAATATGATAATAATTATATATTACAATATCTATATTGTATAAGACAAAATAAGAAATAATAATAATATATAATAATATATAATATATAATATAATAATAATATAATATATTATTACTTCTATTTTAATAATCTTGAAATTAATACAATATATAAGAATAACATAGAGAATTTCGCTGACCAAAGAACAAACAATTTGTTCATAAAAAAAAACAACAACAAATGCTTTTAATTTATTTCTTTAAATAAAGAAAGTGATCAAGTGAACAATAATCTCTTATTTTTTCAGGATGGTTTTAAATTGCGGCTTGGAATTAGCAAGGCTGACTCTCTTCAAAAGGAACGTATTGAATTATTAAATAAACTAGATCTGCCCACCGTTGGGGAGTTCCTATTGAAACCAGGAACAGAACCAATCTCGGATTTGTTGTTGGCGTTTCTCAGAGTATTCAGTATGCGCAAACCGGAACTGGCACATTGGATCCGGTCAGATCGTGTTAACGATTTGAAGCACATGGACTGTGCGCTGGAAACTGTTGTCGAGGAGAACGTCAGAAAATTTCTGCTCACCAGGTTGCAGCTGTTAATTGCTAATTACCCGACGACTCTGAAGGTGAAAGTGAAATGAAACACATACACACATACATACACCTGTGTAACGGCGTCGAAAATTCATCTCTCCTTATTTCTTTTTTTCTTTCCTCTTACAGGAAGATCTGCAATTGCTCGATACGACGTTGCCGCAAATCAAAAAGTTGACCATTCAGTTGAGAGTAACGGAGAAGAAGATTCTTCAGGGTGCGCTTGAATACGTGGAACAATGGATCAAAGCTTGAGAATCTGATCAAATGTGAATTTTCGAACCTCTGTCAAGTCAAACGTGTATTTTTATTCCTAGAAAAATGAATCTCACGATGGAGTATAATTTTTTTATGGATCTGCTGGAACTGTGGTTCCGAAATGATGAAAGATTAAACACATCATTCGACGAATGACTGAACGTATATATAATATAGATGTAAAACAATGTGCAAAACGACAAAGGACAGAGAAAAGGGAGCAAATGGTGTAAAACATTCAAGTGTATAAAACGATTGAACAGACTATATATAATATCTATGTGTATTAACAAGTATACAATACAAAATAATCGCGTTTCACGATAAATGTGTCTCTTGTTTTCGAGAGATGAGAACTTCGTGAGCACAAACCTCTGTTTCTTCGTTTGTGCGTGTGTGTGTGTGTGTATGTGCGTGCTGATCGAATTCCAATCTCTGATCATAAGAACTTACGAATATAATACTTTTATTTCAGCTTTGATAAAAAAGAGAAAAAGAGAGAAAAAAAAATAATAACATGTACAAACGAAATGTTACTATTCATGGATATTTATTTTTCAAAGGAGATAGTTAAGAGATCTAATTCTTTATGTAAGCTATTGTGCGATATTACACAGGCCTACAGAAATCAGACTTACAAATGATTAATACGCCGTAAGATTCGTCGATAATTGTATCGAATTCTAATAATACGCATAAAAGTAAGACAAACAGCGAGTTCCAAATAATTTTCAGCCATTTAAGAAATTGTATTGTATCATGTTTACCCCATACCCCTTTGAGATTTTATGGGATTACACTTAAGAATACGATATTGAAGGCAGTACGCTTATGTGAGTGGTAACTATATATTAACGAAAAGGGAGGAAAAAATATATTGATGTATTTAAATAAAATAATATGTAAACCAGTTCAATCGCGTATTACAAAGGATAACAATAAGGTAGAATAATAATTTATTAGAAATCGTGCTACAGCAGGACTGATAGCTCTGTGTGTTGCTTCTTTTTTTTCCAATACATCGGGGCAGACATGATACAGCCAAATGCGAAATGCCACGATAACTTAACTTAACGCATTTCTCTTCTAATACAAAAACATAGAAAATTTACGACGTGACTATATTATTTCAATAAAATACTAGAAAATTATCCTTTTGCTATCTGATCCAAAAAGTTCTACATACCATCAAAGGGATTATACAAGCGTCTTAATTATTATATTTTTTAAAATAATATCATTCACTTTACGACGAGTATATACCTCGAGTAGGGGCGAGTGTGATGATTCTGTATTTTACATGATTACTAAAAAAATATACAGATATATGTTTATTCTCGAAAGAGGGAGAGATTGAGGTTTATTTCTCAGAACTTTTTGATCAGATAAGATCGAATGTATAATTCTCGATAATTTATAAGTTATTTGTGTTGCCAGTCATATTTAATTATATTTAATATATACTACAGAGTGACTGATTTATAGCAACGGCACGGTTCAATTGTTACGAAACGAATTTTTAGCAATTTTAGAACTTTTAGTTCTCAGATTATTTTCTTTTACGTTTTATCTTTATCTCTGCCATTTGAAAATTGCATTTATCTTATATATCACTATATACTTATAGCGCGTTTTGTAATTCGATTTTATTATTTACTAACGGTAAATTATTTCCACTAGCATATTTCGCGGATTCGTTTCTTAATTGATGGAGTATTATTTCACTGACAGACTCTTCCTTTTGTTCTCCTTTACAACCGTCTTTTCTGACGTTCACGATGCCGTGATCTTCCCGGAGATGAACAATTAAAGACGGTAAGGCGTAAAATATTTTGTCACAAAGATTGCACTGGAATGTCTTTCCATCAGCTGCCTGCAAGCAGTACTCGTAACCTTTTATAGAACTATACGTTTGCCTATGCAACGCTAAATGCTTCTCATGGTCCATAGCGAGAATAAATTCGTAAGAACATATCGGACACTTTAAGTTGTGCTTCGTCCACATTGTATGAGCTTTCAGCCGGTGTAAACTGTCGTAGACTTCGCCACAAACAGGACACTTCATGCATTTATGATTATTTAGCGTCTCTCTGCTTTCGTACAGACCACTGCATTCCTTACATTGATAAGTTCTTTCCCTTTTGCATGCATGCTTGAACCAATGCTTTTCTAACTGCGGTAACAAGTCGAATACCAATTTGCAGAAAGTGCATACGAATCTCCCCCGGCGATCTCGTTTTATCGTAAAGTTCGACGCTCTGATGTCCCAGTGTTTCTCGAAATTACTTTTACGCACTAGATTCTCGTTGCAAAACTCACATTGGTCCTGATGCTTGGACAAATGTGTGAACAACATGCCAGGCTCGGTATTCGTGTAGTTGCAAAAAGAACATACAAAAGTATCGTCTTCCTTGTACATATGAGAGTACAAGTGTTTTTGGAACGAGTTGGAGGTAAAAAACATTGCGCCACATGCCGGACATTTCAAGTAAGGTTTCTCTCTTTCTGTGTAATGCAATGGCAAAGGTCTGAAGGTTTGTAACCAGGTGTTATCTTTGGAGTCCACGATGTTCTGCTGATCCATAGAAGATTCTTCGTAATCTATTTCTTCCATGGTTGGCACACGTTCATCTGCATCAGTAGAAATGATCGAATGCTCTTCCTCTTTTATTTCAACTATTGGCTCGTGTTTGGGTATTAGCTGTCTCAATAGTAATACTTTATTATGGCGCTTAGAACGATGCCGAGATTTAGACATGTTACTAACCAAAGAACGATCGTTATTTAACTTCTTTGTCATTAGTGCATTGTTTGCTTCCAGCATTATTATGAACTCTTTGTTATTAGGTACAGAAGTGACGTACGACAGAGGTGAGTCTGCTCTTAAGTCGTCCCAATCACTGATGGTGGATTCGCTAGTGGCTTCAGAATCATTCTCCATAGACAGAAGTTCAGAAGATAAATCATCTTCCTGAGATTCAATGTGATCATCATCTTCATTATCATCATCATCATCATCATTATCATCCTCACCATCATCATCATCGTCTTCTGCAGAAAGCAGCGCTGTTCTCAATATTTCCCCATTCGACATTAGGTCTCCATTGATTCTCCTCTCGCTGGTCTCTTCATCCTCCATCGCGGTTTTTGAAAAATCTTTGCATTCTGGATCCTCTAATGTCAACATTTTATGTTTGTGAAAATTCCTGCGATTTGTAACTTAATCACTGTAACACAGAAGAAAGAATGTTACACGGTTGGCTCTCGATGATGGAACATAACCTCGTTTTCTCGATACTCGCCGCATCTTTTATTCACAAAATCGTTCACTCGTGAGCGAACGCAAGTCAAATCGGATCTTTGACAGATCGTAAGTTATCCCTCGAGTGAATAAAATGTACTTACGTGTGTACGTTTAACGTGACCCCTCCTTGCGACGCTCTTTGCGGTGCAAACATCGATTTGTATCTGCGTGGAATTCTTTAAAGACGTATGAGAAGACGAGCAAAAAATGTATGTGCCGCACCACTGAGAATCCGTCATTCAATTTCTAAAATCCCACGTGAAACTCGGGAATTCATTATTATTCACGTTAAAAACAACTTTGATCAGCTGTTTTCTGATTACACAAAATTGACAGGACGTCTCGGTGCGCGTCCAACCGATGACCTGCCGATGGTGACACGAAAAGTGTCTCTCAACTTCGTCTCGTTGAGTTTCTACAATGTTCCATGCGATTTATTCCGGACAAGGGGAGATCGCTTGGAACATTTTGCACGAATTTGTCTCAGTGCCGGAAATATCTATTTACGTGTAACAGAAACAATTGTTTTCTCATGAAAGTTACCATCGAGTTAAATTGAAACATCATGTATGATTTGTCGTAGTTGTTTACGCGTGAAAAGTTGAGTATAGTTGAGAAATACTGTCACAAGCAAGCCACGCATGTGGCTGTGTAAAATGTATAGAGAACACACACACACACACACACATAAACACAGGGGAATTCAGGGATTTATTGGAACGCGTACGATAAATTAATATATCTTTAATACAGGCACTTGTATTTATACAAAAATTACTGTAATATACAAAATTAATACGTTAATACGTTGTTAAGTGTACACTAATGTTAAGTGTGTTATGTTTCAGCTGGTGAAAAGTGACGATAATCGAGTAACCAAGAACGACTGTAAACTTGACTAATTGTTAACTTAACTAAATTAAAATTATAAAACTAGTTTTCAGTGAAATTATAAACTTTCAGTTGAAATGAATTGAAACTATTTTCAGTTAAAATTATAAACTAGTTAAACAGTGTATTACTTCGACACGTAAATGTCTACGTAAGTACTATTATTATATATTGAACGGATTATTAAAAAAATCATATTTTTACAGAATATGTGTATAAAAATGTTACATTAAATTAACAAATCTAGTAACTGTTAACAAACGCAGTAACACTTATTTCCTAAATTTTTATACTTAATTCTTTTAAATTATCTCTATACTAATAAGCTTCATTTCGTTTGAACTTCGTGACGTGTGTTGGTACATTCTGCCCTCTTTAGTTAAAATAACCTATCTATTATTTTGAAACTGAAGGAAATTAAGGTTTTGTTTCTCTTCATTTTGTTCAAAACATTTAGTCATTTCGAAACACTCTGTATAATGTGTGTAATTTTACTTTCGAGCTAAAAAAAAAATTTTAACATACTTTCAAAAATGAAAAGATTGTCGAATAAGGAAGACAGTATTCGTCGAGTAATTTATGAAAATTAACCAGAAAATCTTAAATCTCTGTAAGTAGACGAATAAGTTGTTATAAATTTAAATAATTAAAAAAATTCTCTCTTTTTTAGAGTCATTAGTCAGGGGAAAAGACGTAATATTTGGTTGACGGTTGTTGCGTTGATTTCTGGGCCACAAATGTTTATGCAAATTCAGATTTTCGCAAATAAAACGAAAGAGGTAAAAATCTTAATATTTGATTCTACATTTTTGAATTTTTCAATTTTTTGTGTATTAAATGCACAAACATTTACGATCTACAATAGCATTTCCTTCAAACAACTTAGCGAATAATGCAATAACTTTACGATTCATTACTCTAATCGTGTTAGAACGAACTTTGCTTAAGTGTATTTATACTTAAAAAACGTAATAATTTTACATTTCCAATCACTATCTGTCTCACGTAAGATTATTAAATAATAAAAGTTCGTGACCTACAATCCGCGACGTTATCGATTACTAAATTGTTATGCAAGAGGGTCCTGATGTTAAATCCTGATTCAGTGAAGGGGTCTCCCTCTGGAGAACCGGCCTCTCAATTCTTGCTTCGTTTCTTGTGGTCGTGTCCGTGACCGTAGTCGTGAGCATACACGTGATGTAAATGCCCGTAACCGTGGCCGTGACCGTAGTTGTGGCCGAAACCGTGGCCAAAACCGTGGCCGAAACCATGGCCGAAACCATGGCCAAAACTGTGGCCGAATCCGTGGCCGAATCCGTGGCCGTAACTGTGAGGGAAGTGCGCGGGCAACGGGGGATAAAAGTGGCCGCCGCCATAACCTCTACCGTCGTACGCAGCCGCGGCAACTGGGCCTGCGCCGATCAACGGGACTGGATGTGGATGGATCGGAATCGGAACTGGGACCGGAACCGGTATTGGAAACGCTTGTTTCACCGGGACTGGATACGGTTGTTGCACTGGCACCGCCACAGGGTGCTTCACCGGTATCGGAACCGGGCGTTCCACCGGAACCGGAACTGCCTGTAGACAGAAAAAGTGAATTTTCATCTGTTGATAAATTACCTGTTTCTCAAGGGGTTACATTCTGCGGATGAAAGTGCGCGGCACTGAGAGGAATCGTAGAGGTTAGCTTTTTATTGGTAGACTAGTAGACAAGTTACAAATATGGGTAATTTACGTTTTACTTTTTTTTAAACAGTGTTTAAAAAATATATTTGCACGAAGGGGAAAAAACAAGAATGGAGCAAAATTAAAACAGAATCGTAATTAACTCATGATCGATACGATAGAAATATGGCAGTCACCTAGATAACGTACATATGTAGGTAATTAAAAATGTCTTCGAAAAGATAGTATATTGTATTACATTCATTATTTCATCGAGTTATATGTAAATTAAGTTATATATTTAGTAATATTTAACAAGTTATTATAATCCGACGGATTTCCGCAAATGTTTGGGAGTTTTTGGGAAATTTAAAAATTTGAAACTCGACGGAAGACTACAACTACAAGTATACAAAAATATAAAAAAATATTTAAAATAGAATATTGGATGAATTTCATAATTTTGTGTTCATAAAAATACAAAATTGCATAAACTTCCGCAGTGACTGATTTCGTTTGGTTGATAAATTGAGATATCTTTCACGAAAGATGTAGGGATGTTTCCTTACCTCAGGTACCGGAATGGGAACCGGGACCGGTTTGTGAATGATTTTTTCGACTGGTACTGGCACATGATACGGTTTCTCGATGTAAACTGGCTCTGGAACAGGAACTGGCCTTTCCAGGACCACGTGCTTTGTTATGTACACTGGAAATGTTTTCAACAATTCGGGCCTTCCGATTGGTAAAGAAATACCTGGTACTCTGCCGTATGACAGTCCACCATGTAATCTGTCAAATGTGAAATTTATTATAAGAAATTATATTTATAGAAATTTTAATTATTTTTCCTCGTTGATTTTTCATATCATTACCCTCCATGAGATAAATCAAAGGGAGAAAACTTGAGTCCTTTCCAACCTGAACTACCAAGCCACGGGTGTCCATGTCCGTATCCGTAAGGATTTGGTATTCCAACCCATCCACCAGATTCTGGTATTCCTCGTTTATTTTGTTTCGTTTCGTTTGTTTCTGCAGTTAGCCCGTAACTACAGAAAAATGCCAGAAACAGCTGAAACAATATTTACAAAATTTATTATACACATATTACATGTATATATTGTTTTATTTTTTTAATTATTATATATGTGTATAGAATTTGATACAGTAAAACTGTGATTATTAGATTACGGATTTTCATGTATTTTTATGAATGTAATATATTACATATTAATGACTATATACTTTGTATATATCTTTGAACCTTTAAGTTTGCACAAAAATCCGCGGTTTAATGATTATGAATATTGAATAATAGAATATTATGTTCGTTGTTTGTTCTTTCAAGCAATTTGCTAAGTAAGTTATTATTTAAATCATTGGAAAGAGAATATTTTTATTCTATAATTTTATATTGGGGATTTTTTCAGAGATGTATCCATCTTCATAGTGATTACTTAGATTAACGTTAGTAAGTTCTCTCTTTCTAATATTTAGAGTTAGAAATTTCTTTATTATTATGTTAATTAATCATATTAAATCGTATTATAATTGATCGAATTTCTGATCGATACACATGTAACATTTAATAATAGGATAGTTATTTTTAATGTATATTATTATATATCTTACCCGATAAATAACATTGATAGTTTTTATCGTGTAAAATAATATAAAATATAAATTCAAACGAAATACTCTAAAATTAAGTAATTTATTTGTCATTCATACATTACTTAACGATATCAGTTTACGATTAAATAACGTGAAATAAATACGTAAATAGGAAGAATATCCAGAACTTTTATTAGGTAGTATCCAAGAACATTTCAAAAATATTTAATTATCATTAAAAGACTAGTGACGCAGATAGTCTAAGATTTTGATAATGGTAAATACTATGTATCAAATACTTAATTTAATATTGACAAAATAATATATATTTGTAAATACTTAATTGAAAAATTTAAAGCGGTGAAATAATTTCAGATTTACTGACATTTTATTGAAAAAGTGTGTCTCTGAGAAACAATAATATAATATAACATTATTATTTAAAGAAAATAATTATGTTAATATAGATTGTAATTATTCTTGGTATGAAATTGAAACGAAAAGTTATTACTCTTACCAGTAATTATTCTTTTATATTGAACCTCGATGCTCCAAACTTTTAGACGACGATGTACATGTAGACTACGGATATTTATGCAGAGTTAAATCTTTAGAAGCACAATTGCAGGATTCGCTAAATGTTACAAAGATTGAAGACACTTCAGATATCTTACGTACGTATGTATATACATCTTCATAGCATCATACACAGTCTGTCACACAATCTTTGCATCTTTCAATATTCCACGAATGCATAAAAATCCGCAGTCCACTAGCGACAATGTAACTTGTTACTTATGTTTCTTACCAAGATCATCGACATTGCGGTCGCGTTGAGGAGGAACTGTTTGTTGAATCGAGAAAATGGCAGCTTTATATATTCCCTGTTTGTCCAGATAAACAGATTGATCGGTCCAGATCGGTACGAGTCAGGTTCCCCTGTTTGATCGAATCAGGAACTCGACCTTGTTGATTGGCGAGTTTCGTATTTCCGGGGAAGAAAGTGGTCAAGAACGCCATATCCGATCTTCACGTGTAATTATCTCATACCATCAGTCCACATGTTTCGTTTAATTCAAGTGTAGAGTAAGTAGACTATGGAGACACGTTTTTATGCATATTTATTTTTATTTTTCATTTCATTCGACCGTGAGTGCTGCCGGGGAAAAAGTTTAACGTGCAAGTGGAATTATATTTAACAAGAACGACGAAGAAGAAAAAGAATAGTTTAATATTAATGTTACTAATTCTCATACACATGCTTGGACGGACGTATGCACACGTATGTACATCATATGAGCTTCAAACTTTCTTTTCTTCGTGCATTGTGCATCTAATGAAATAGAATTTCATTATTTCATTTGAATGAATTAAAATTTATAACAATTTCTCTGCTTCTAGTTACAGAGGGAAATTTTGTTATAAAAATTTTATTTCTTATATTAGTTTAAATGTTATGTCGGTAAAACTAGATTGAAATATTAAACAATTCAAATGCATGTAATATAAAGATATGATAATATAATAATATATTACGAAAGGTAATTTTAAAGCTAATATAAAAGGTAATTATAATGTATTATAATGTAATATTATTATTGTTAATAGTAATTACTATTAGTATCATTAATAATAATCATTATGATATTTCTAATCATTAATTATTAATAGTAATTTTATTATCACTGATCATTATAGTATTGTTAATAATAATTGTTACTATGCATAAGAATATTACAACTCTTTAATTCTACTGAAACAAGATTTACTTTAGTCGTCAGTCCTGTCGTGTCAACCTCTAACAATATAACAAACAAGGATCCCCACAATCTTCACATTGTGCAAAAATACACAAAAGAGCTCGTTGGAAATTGAATCGACGAATCGACGATTTCAAAATCTCTGCGCTTTTGCAAAGCGGTGCTCCACCGTTTGGCTTTACTCGGCCAACGAGATCAACGAAACCGGCTGGTCCGTTTCTTGCACCAGTGGCGCTAGTTTGTTTCCGCATTGGCCGCATCCGCGAACTTTCTTAACTTTCATTTTCTAATACGAGCCACTTCTAATGCCGGCCACTACCTTCCATCCATTATTCATGAATTATGAATACTGGTGAACGCATAACATGCCCGTACGTGTGCACCAGCCCTACAATGACGAAATAACTTGACGGTCAAGTCGAGCTGGACGTGTTCGATTAACTTTTGAAATTGACGAATGGAAAATTGTACGTATGTGATCGTTAATTGATTTATTTTAAACTCAACGACAAGTTCATTATTGAGGAAGTTTCTGTTTTATTTTCAATTTTTGTAATATTAATTTTTGAATGCCTAGATGATGATTAACATTATATCCAATATAATACTGCACACAATATAATTCTATATTACATGCTATTATTAATATTATATATATATATATATATATATGATACTGCGCACTATAATTGTATATACTATTAATATTACATATTATATGTTAATATCGTATATTATTATTAATATTACATTTATAATATTACATACTTCTATTAGTATTATATACAATATGATCATAAGGTACAAATAAATTGTTATTGTTAATACTATAGTTAATCCAATATAATACTATACACAATATAATTCTGTATTAATGTTACATGCTAATTAATACTAATATATAATATGATATTGCACACTATATATACTACAAATACTACATATTACTATTAATATCATATATTATTATTAATATTACATACTTCTGTTAGTATTACATACAATATTATATTAGTATTACATATATAATATTACATACTTCTACTAGAATTACATACAATATTAATACTATATACTGCTATTACATACAATATTAATACTATATACTACATACAATATAATGCTAAATATTATTACAATATGATGCATTAAAACAGTACTATAATGTAATATCACAGATTAATAATCAATTTGTTCTTATCTACATATACTCAATGATTCATATGTACAAAGTGGGCAAAAAAATCACTTCATATTATTATTATTATTATTATTATTATTATTACTGTTGTTGTTGTTATTGTTATTATTATTATTTTTCCTATATTTGTTGTATTGATGTTTTATTAAAAAAAAAAATAGGTGGAAGGAAACCTTTGGCCCACCTTGTACATTCAAATCATTATTTGACCAATTCAAAACGCTTTTCAAATGCACACCTCACACACTTACGTAAAATCGACATCGGTATTCTCTCTCGGCATTTATGAATGCACTGGACGCTTCCGTCAGGATATAAAGCAAAAAGTCACGAAACCACTCGCTCCAATCGCGTAACCAGGTTGCCACAGAATCGTGTCACGATTCGACGCATCGCTATTCTTATTAATTTGAATGTTCACGTAGACAATTTTCACCTAGCTGTGGCTCGGCTATCTGAACAATCTCGAAAACGTCGTTCGCGAAATGTTACACACGGCTCTCGCCAACGTGTGAACGATGAACTGATCATCCCTTCTTGTTTTGTTACACGTGCGTACACAATAGTTATGTAGTTACGATGGTTAAATGCGAACGAAAGAAAAGCGGTCACGAGCACTATTTGGCCATCACCCAGGATTGGAAGCAGCGAAAGTCCACCGGGTTGAACGAAGACAACGATGGTGCCTTCCTAGCGTGATGTGTCACTTGTGGATGCCCTATAAATACTTATGGGGGTCACCGATAGCGAGCAAACGCAGTTTAGTTTTCCTTTGGCTTCGTGGTCGCGAGCTAGGATTTAAGGAGCCTCCCGAGGATTGCGATCATGAGGATTACTCTGGTATCGTTTCGTTCCTTGATTTTTCAAAATTTTTGTATATATATATATATTATATATAATTATATTAATTATATATATATATATATATATATATATATATATATATAAATTATATTAATTATAATTACTAGACAGTGATGAAGTATTCATACGTTTATACATTTAGTATTTATTATAGTGATTAAATTGGTTGCGAGTGAGTGATTGAGCGTGAGCTAAGATTTAGAAGTAAAAGTATTGATCATAAGAATCATTTCAATTTCCTTTTTAATTTACCGTTCATATATTTTGAGTTTATCAGTCGTTCATTCGTGTTTAATTTCTACATTTTAGTAATAGTAAAGTTACTGAGCTTTAATAGTGATAAAGTATTTATGTTAGTGATTAAATTGGAATAAGTTGTGAATAAGTGATTTTATTGTTAATACAGTACATATATGTACATGTTATTTCATACATAGGTACTTTCATTATTCCTGGCAGTCAGTGCAGCAATTACTGTTGTTGACAAGCATGAGAAGGCCAAATCTTTTGCATCGAGAAAACATGACAAAAGAGGACTCGTAAACTTGGAGTATGGTGTACCTGAACATGTGTTTGGTCCTCAAGAACCGGCACCTGTTATCGAGTCTTCTGTTCCGGAAATAGGTGGACATTTGGAATCAGTGATAGCACCAGTGCCTCCTCCTCTACCGCCAGCTATACCGCCAGCAGCTCGTTAGTATATATTTTTAAATTAATTCGTTAGTATATTTTAAATAACAAATTAAAAAACAAAAGGATTAACTATGAGTTAATCCTTCGAACGCTTAAAATTTCATTTCACAATCTTATTATATTATTTATAATTATAATTATTTCATTAACATTAGTTTTTATTTTAGATTCAATATTAAATAAATATTTAAGTTTAACATTATTAAAAAGTCATACAGTTGAAATTATTTGAACTTCAATACCTATTAGTTGATTTTAATATTAATTTGTTATCTGTTATTAAAAATTTCAATATTTCATCCTTATTTTCAATTAACTCTGCACCTCAATTAACAATCTAAAATATAGATAGAATATAATTATCTATATAAAATATAAAATATCTAATATAACATATGTTATAAATATAAAATGTTAAAAATCAACACTTTATTTTCAACTTCTTTCAACAGCTGCGGTTCCAGTACCGGTGCCACAGCCAGTTCCACACCCTTTCCCAGTGGCAGTGCCTCAGCCAGTGCCACATCTGGTCCCAGTTCCCGTGACGAGACACGTGCCAGTGCCTGTACCAGTGGATCGTGCGGTTCCAGTGCCTGTGGATCGTCCTGTTCCTGTGCCAGTAGCCGTTCCAGTCCCAAAACCGTATCCGGTGCACGTGGAGAAGATCGTGCACGTTGACAGACCGGTGCCAGTGCCATTCGAAAGACCAGTCCACGTGTCAGTGGATCGGCCAGTAGCTGTTCCCGTTCCGGTACCGAAACCATATCCGGTTCCTTTTGAGAAGGTGGTCCACGTGGACAGACCTTATCCTGTTCATGTAGCAGTACCGTATCACGTTCCCAAACCTTACCCTGTACCCGTTGCCATTCATGCTCACAAAGCACACGGCTGGTTTAAGTAGGATTAGCTTTCTTTAAATAGGGATGTTTTTTGCTGGTTTTCGAGATTAGGATTGGCTGATGATTGAGAAGTTTGGGGTTCATTTCATTTGTATTTGTTATGGTAAAAATTACATTTGCATGAAAATCGCATGAAATGTCTGTAAAAAAATACTACTACTTGTTAAAATTGGAGTAATTTTTAATGAAAATTACAAACCAGTTATTTTGACTGCGTTAAATCCAAACTGATATCATTGAATTATACAATTGTAATAGGTATGCATATGAAGTAGACTGATTTTTATACAAACTGATGAGTTTTGAGAATAAAGAGATAAAAAATATAATAAAAAAAGACATTCCCTTAAATGCGTGAAAATTCACAGTCTAAATATATATAAATGACATTACTCTGTTTAAATTATTTAATTTTATTTTGTATTCATCATTTTACAACAAAAAGTAATAATTTATACATACATATATAATGTGTGATACAAAATAAGATTAAATCGTTTAATTTAATTTAAATTATATTGATCATTTTCCATCCAATGATACCAGTTAAGTGTTAAAAATATGACTTTTTGCAACGTTATTTTGACCAATATTCTGATGCTAGTCCATTTTAATAGTCCATTGTTATAAATCATATTTTAACCTTCTACAATGCTATATAATTTAAAATTTACGTTCTCGAACAGATTTTCATTCTGTATGTTGTCATTGGACCATTTGTATTTATATAGTTCTGAGATTTTCATGAAAATAGTCAAGAAAATAGAACCTATGTGTTTTGAAGATGATCGAGTTTATTTGCAATGATAATTAAGAAAAATATATATCCAAGTTTTTGTAGAGATCACTTGATGAAGATAATTTAAGAAATGGAACTTAGAATTGTTTCATCTATATGTTATATTTTTGCACCTTCAAACTTCCCACAAACTTTCCCAAAATCATCAGTTTAATTGTGAAATCAATTTATTCAAATAAGATAAGATTATTTAAGTCATTAAAATGACCATGAAGTTGCAACCGCCAAGAATTTTTGCATTAATGAGTTTTTAATACAAAACGAGGATTAACATTCTTAAAGATTTTTTTATACTAATTTTATATACCTTTTTATAGGTGTTTCTCGTAATCATAGACGACTAATAAAGTTCTCCCTTGAGAAGTGATGATTCATTTGATTTATGTGATGAAGAAAGAAATTACAGTCACGAAAAAACCTCCTTGGCAATAATGTCGTACTCGTATATTTCAACTCTTTAGTCATATTACAAGTTTTCAAATGTGTTTTCAAGGTGAGAAAACTTCATCGATTAAAACATTTAATTATGAATAGGGTACTATTTAAAAGTTTGTTTATTTGCGACCTTGAGATTCTCTCAGGAACTATGCCCACTGCATGGGATTTATTCAAGTTACACGAAGAGCATGGAAGTAAATTTCTGTTAATTCTTCGTCGGCTAATCTCTTATCGTTTCTTAAACATTCTAAGGCACTTTCCATAGTTTCTAATTTAATATACAAATGAAACTTTAGAGATGTACAAATGAAACGTAAAAGATTTCAACACAAGTCGTAGCTTTTTGCAATATAATTGTTAATGTACTAACTCACAAACTCACTGTCATATAAACTACAAACTATCATTCAATATTTCTACTTCTGAAACTGTTATAACAGTTGTTCCAAAACTTTTTGACACCTATATATATGCACATTGCACAATTTACATTTTCATTGTTCTCTAATTCCATTCTAAAAATGATTTTATATTATTATTTCACATGATAATCCAAGTTATTTGGGACTCGATGACCCAAGTTAATGATCATAGTTTGTGCAAAACGAATTGGTAAGACGAGGCATCCTGATATTTATGAGCAAGAGTGCACGTGACATTAGAAATTGACAGCGATATCAATAAAATGCAATCATACTGTCCTTGACAGTGAAAAGCCTCGTTAGTGTAAAGTCCCACCTGCAAGGTGTAAAACACGTGTACGTTATCGTGACTAATGGCAAAGGTCAAATGTTCCACCCAATGTACATTATACATTCTTGATCAATCGTAAACTGAAGCATGATGTTAGCATTCTTTTGGCCAGCCATTTTTTTTATTTTGAATTTTATTCAATTTTATGTTTTAAAAACAGAAAACTAATAAATAAAACTACATTACACATTCATCAATGTATTATCTGTACAGTTGAAATTGCTATTTAATTGCTGTCTTCTCTCTTCATAGATTGCGCAAGAAGAACGTGAAAGGAACGAAAAAATGATTTAATTTCAGTATAGGGAATACATCAAAATCACGGCGATGGATACATAACGAGCAAAACAGAATGTACAAAAAAAGAAGATGAGAAAAAAGTGAACAATACACCTTCATTATAGTACAGAAATCGTATAGTTTAATTGAAGAGATTATTAATAGAAGTTATTTTTCTCTCTAGCAGATGCATAATGAGCAAAAATAAAACATGCAGAAAAAGAACACTGCGAGAAAAAGGGCACTTTCACTATGACACTGAATAATTTTCGACGTCTAATCACGTCTAATTAATAAAAGAAAGCAGTCGTCAATTTATAGAATAAAAGAGTTACTAATTAACGTTGGTAAGTTATTATTAATTAAAGTTTAATTAATAAAAGAAATCAGTCGTCAATTTATAGAGTAGAAGAGTTATTAATTATCGTTATTAAGTTATTATTAATAATAACGTTAAGTTATTACCAATTGACGTAAATTATTATCAATTGACGTTAGTTATTATTAATTAACGTCTAACTAATAAAAGGAAGCAGTCATCAATTTATAGAGTAGAAGAGTTATCTTTCTTTGGAGGTGTTTGAGTCGAAATTCAGTTTGTGTATATAATATCTAATGTAATTATGTTCAACATTCTTCACATATGTGTATATTATCATGGCCGTGAAGGTGTTATTACCATTAATGATTCAACCTAATTGTGACGGATATCACCTTGACGATAATTGCCATACTTTAATTTATGATTTATGGTATAGTCTCTCTTTTTCTGGACTTAAGGAGTGACCTACTCTGACACTTCGAAACTTCTAATCAGCAGAGTTCTGTCTTATTTGACAGATTTCTCAAGAAAGATATGTAATAATGTATTTTCAATACACCTAAGACTACAATTTGAAATATCGTCAAAATATGGTGCAATAAGAAACGCAAAATTTTACTTATATATTTTATTGAAATTATTTGAACTTTTTGAAACGATTGCAAATCTACAAAACTGTTCGATGAAAAATTAGAAATTGGTCATTTTGACCATTTTGATGGCTCTGGTCTTAAAGAAATACATATACACATATACATATGTGAGCAAAAAATTTATTATTTTTCGAATAATAATAGTACCTTTTATATAATATATAAAGTATTCTATATATTCAAATTATTAATGCAACCTGTAATTTGTTTTAGTTCAATATTTAATACATTATGGATATTAAATTGTATATATAATTAGTAAATTAAGATATATATAATATTTTATATATTATAAATTAATATGCATACATGCAAGTATTACATATTAATAAAATATTATAAAAATTATACTAAAAATTAATATATAAAAAATTAATAAATTAGCAAGTTAGGATGTATGTGTAAAATACTATATATTATTTCAATTTAATAACTATATCCATAATTTATTAAATATTGAACTAAAGCTAATTATTAAATTAATATATATATACTTATGTATCTATACTTTAATACATATATATACATATTAAAACTATTCCAAATACATATTTTAATTTACCAAAGTTACATATGTAATTAAGTTAAATTAAATTTAACTAAAAAGATCTATTTTATTACATTATTAAATATATTAATAATAATATTTTTCAAACTTTTAATACAAATATTATAAAATTATATCACCATATACATTCCAAAGAATGTATAATAGCATTTAAATAGATAACTGAATCATACAATTGAATAAAATAATTTATAGTATAGGTTCTATACATTGGATATATAAAACATGTTTAAAAACATCATTTAAATAACTGATCTGTCTGAAAGACGTCACTCAGTTTGCTAATAGTTTAATAAAATTCAGTTTAACGCAGTTGAGAGACAATATATATTTAACCGACTTGTTGAGTCATGAAAGTAAATGATTCTTGTAAATTAGTATTTACAATAATAGCAGAGTATTAAATATAATATTTCTTAGTGCCAATTTGCAATTCTTTTTTCTTCAATCTTCATTTATATCAGCTTTCATTTATTCTCTTTTTTCAAACATTTGGCGCCTTTTCTTTCTTTGTCATTTTATTGCATTTTGAATATCAGACAAACACGTATAACATATTTCAACAACGAAAATGTGAAGTCTAAGCTTGATATTGAAAATTGAAATCAAGTTTTGGAAGATCATTGTAAAGAGGAGGCTTCGAAATTCATTGTAGATTCAATAATGAAAAAAAAAATCTACATCAGTGTTTTCAAGTATTATGACACCATGTAACATTCTTGAGAAGGGACGTGTCTTCACTTTCCCACCCCTTTCACCAGAAGTGAAGTGAAAACATCTTACAATAAAATAAATGGTACATTTTTTGAAAATAAAAGCTTCAAGCTTCAGAGCGAATATTGTTGTGTGATTTTGTTTTCTCGAAATTGCAACAGTTTAAATGTTGAGCGTTCGGAAATTCGTATGCGAGCAATTGTACGGTTTTGTTAATAAAACTAGTCTTCTGGATGATATTTCGAAATTTATTGTTAGCTTAGTTGTTGGTGTTATAGCACCAATCGTGCATAACAGCAAAAAGTTCGCGATTCACAAACAGATGACTATAGAACTGGCTCATATTTAATATATTCTTCTGCACCTTCGCGCTCGATAGGCGTTACACTTGACACCAAAGAACAACGTTACGTCGCCCAAGTACAAATCCATAAAAGCTTAAAAGGCCTGTTATATAAGAATATGCGATTGTTTCACCGTTTCATCGTTAGAACTCGCAATATCAGAAATTGAAATTATCAAGAATATTCAGATGATCTAAAATAATTGTTAAATTACGAGATATTAAATTTGGTCTTCGCAAAATCCAGATAGAATTGTTTAGATAACGATCATTTCTTGATAAATGTTACATAAAGCGTATCTTAATAATTTCAATGTCAGGTAATGATTGAAAGATGTTCCGAAGATATCACGCAATTGTTTGCGTTACATACTTTGATTATCTCTTCAAATTAAGACAGTTCTTAATTCTACGCTTGTGTACAAGAGTGAATATAAAAATAAGTACTTTTATGTAAAATATATTACACACAGTGTGACTGTTAAATAAACAATTAATCTCAGTTGATTGAATATCCAATTTCATTAATATCTAATATTATTAATAAGAATATGTTAATAATAATATTTTACTGCTTACGTTATCCATCGATCATTATCATTTGCAAATTTATAACAAATTCGAGAATACAGCGATTAAATGTTTTAACCAACTGCCTGATAATCTTCGTCATTTTTCTAAAATTTATTACGTAATCTAATAGATAAAAAATTCAAGTAAAATTGCAATGAGAGTATAAGTATATCGAAAAAATTGTTTATATCTTAAACTGTCGTAACTTTGTAAGAAGAGATCATATGACAATGCATCTGGCGTCTACTTCGACAATTTTGTGTTCGTTTTTACATCACACAAGTAAAGACACACTCATTCTCGAAAGTGAAGATAGAAAACTTAAACGTCTCTAGAAACATTGAAAAATTCTTTTCACGACTGAATCCATCATGATGAAGATGAATACTTCTTCGTTACGACGAGTCATTGAAACTTGATGTGCGATTTTTGTTTCATCATTTTATCGAACTTTGATTAATCAGGATCAAAGCACAATATATTAGAATTTCTCGAGTTTCTCGTCATTTGACTTTCTAAAGTTCAAAGTTCATCGTGGCAGATATAAAATATCTTTAATTGAATCTTCCTCAGGAGAGAAAAGTCCAAAATTTGTTTAGCAGTGTTGTTTTCATCATGCTACAATGGTGTGAAAAAAAATCAACGATACATGTGGTGACGTAGAGGTGGGCGCGTGTCCAGTGGTCGTCGTCGTCGAACGATCGAGTCGGAAACCGTCAGTTCTTTCACGCGATCACTCGAAGATCCACGGCACTGGACGAGGAAGCCGGTGAACCTCGCGAACTCTTTTCGATCGACCATTCGACGTCGTATCCACTAGCTCGGCCAATATCAAGGTGTGCGAATAAGTCTCGCGAAATGTAAAAGCCTCTTCGTCCAACTCTTCTTGTTGGAAGTTCGCAACAGTGATAATTAATATTAATTGTATTTAAAATGAAAGGCCGAATATATCGTTGTTAAAGGATATTCAACGAACGGGGGACAGAAATTATTATTGTTTATTGTTAGGGACAAAAATTATTATTGTTAGGGACATCGGGGAGAAAGAATGTTTGAAATGAATAATCGAAGGGTCAAAAGTATTGTATAGAGAGTATTAAGAAGTAAATTTAATTATAAATTATAATATTATTAATATTAAATTTAATATCATTGATATGAAAAAAAATAATATATAACATTACTAATATAAATTATTAAAGAATTTAATATTAAAAAAGAAATAGTAAAGAAGAGAAAAATTTATTTATTCTATTACTAAAGAATACTCAAAGGACAAGAAATAAAAGACCGAAACTTGTTATAAAAAAAATATTAAAAAGGGGAAAGAAAAATGTTCGTAATGTTTGAAAGAAAAAGGAAATGGTTTTGTAAGGATTTTGTTTAATGATGCAATATTGTGGCTATTGTCTTGGAGAATAATAAGCAGATATTTTGAGAAATGGGTGTCAAACAGATTGTGTATAATTTGATTGATCGTATTTTTCGTCGAGCGATTACTGTCACCTGGTATTCGTCCTTTCTGGGTCTGCTATCATTTCTAACGACGGGGCGTAAGCTTCACGAAACAGTGGAAAAGCTGCGTGCTCCAGCCGGACACAAGGTTTCCAGAATTTGATCAAAATCCTCGTCTCTTCTTTAGTTCGTTGCTACGCGAATTTTCCTTGACATGACTTTTTATTTCAATGTTTTATATATCAATGGATTGATTTATTCATTCATTGGCTTCTTCCATTGTAGAATTTTCTATCGATAGATATTCACAGAGAGGATGGAAAATTGTTACTTCATTTATTAATTTACAATTTGTTCTTCTTTTCACATTCTTCTTTTTATAATTTCTGACAATATTATTTATTATTTTATAATTTCAAATAATATTATTTATTCATTAATTATTTCTCTTCATCTTAGTATTCATAGTGAGAAAATTTTCTTTCATCTCATTTACACCTCCCCCCTTTTTTTTTATTTTCGTTTTCTTTCCATGCATCTCTCTTTCATCATTTTATTTCTATTTCCTTTTCCACCGAAAAGAAAACGAAATTTTCCTCTTCCTTCTGTTATTTTGCAACAATATTTTCTTCTTCTTCGCATAGTACAGCAACCAATATTTAAAACCGAACTATTTACAGTACTACTAGAATTCGCATGATCCTCATTTATACTATTTATACTTGAAGTTACTCACAGTCAAACTGTGTTATATTTATTGTACTGGTCTCTTCCGAGTTAAAATTCACTTATGTTGTAAATCTACGTATTAGTGGATTCATCGAGAAAAGTGTTTCATCATGGGAACGATGGACTCACAGCGATAACTGTGATTGTTCTAGTGTGTCGCTATGAAGCCGAAGAAATTGGGCATCATCGGTGGCTCTTTACTCGCCTTTGGAGTTGTGTTCTGCGCGATCGTGTTCCCCCCGTTTCTCAAATCGCAGATCAAAAAGGTGAGCGCACAAAACATGACATGGAAAATTATGAATTATTACACGAACCGTGCATGAACATTATTGTTTCCTTGTAGTTTACGTTTAATACGTAAATTCGTTGCAAACGAATGTTTATTGTCGTCGTGTATTTATATGTGTTTTGAGCGAAAATAAACTCTTTGAATGAAACAGCATGTGATAAAGATAGTGTAATTAATAAATTGCAAAAGTTATTTATATGTAACAAAATTAATGATTTATTTTTTTAAATTTATTCTATATTTATTCTTCTAAATTTCTTCTAAATTTATTCTTCTTTAAATTAACTTATTTCTCGAATGAAGCTATATACACATATAAAATAATTAGCTGCAACTAGCATGTAATACAACGATATAAATATATAATATAAGTAGTTAGATATGCATATATTAGAAAGAATATTGGATAAAATATCAAGTTTAGACGTTTACTAAACATTAAATAATTTATTAATAATATTTTATTTTATTATTATTATTTAGTTATTATTTTTGTATTATTATATATTATATCATTTTTATTATATCATATCATAAATTAAGTGCATCAATGTTTTCATCAAAGCAGTTCATCAATGTTTTAAATGATTATAACATATTATATTATATTATATCATTTTTATTATATCATATCATGAATTAACTGCAGTTCATCAATGTTTAAATGATTTGAACGATTGTATAGTTTATGTGTTTATGCAACAGATAAGATTTTAGCAGTAAGTACTCTTGTTACATAAATCATCGAGAATCAAATTGGGATAATAATTCGTTTTGTCTCTCGGTTTTATTCTAACGTGTTGAATTGAACGTGTATCTGGACATCACATGTCCACACACGTCGTTTCCCATTACATTCAACTTTTTCACGACCAGCTTCTATCTATTATTATTCAAAGAGTAAGGTCGCATTTTACTTGGAACAATTGTCATTCCCTGCTATAGTTCCCCTCCGTTCATTATGCTCAACGTTATTTTCAACTTTACATAATTGTTCCTGTTTTTTTTTTTTTTTACATTATTATTCGAATATCAGAATCACATGGGTTTCTTCAGTATTGTTTTTGTTACTTCTTTCGTATTGAACAAATAAATATATATTCCAGTAATGATATTATTAACAACAGATAATTGTACTGTGGACTTTTATGCAAATTTATATTTACTTTTTGAGAGTCAGTTGGAAAAGTGGAACAGAATACTGTTTCATTTGTCAAATATTATAGTAGATAATCTCTGATATAACCATTTTGGTAATAATAGAATATATAAAAAAATGTACAGAAACAGAATGCATGATATAATTATGAAATGCAAATTAAAACATAGGATATAAAATAAATGAATAAATAAAAATGTATCTGCACTATAGTATTATTATATTATTATAATATTATCCATAGCATTATTGCAATATTGTAGTATAGCCATATAAACTATGTATAATGTAAATACCGTACAATATAGGATAATAATATAGGAGGGCCAAAAGTCACTTTCTTATTAAAATAAATTCGTAATTTTAAATCAAAATTTAAGATCAATGAAATTAGGTTTTCCTTATATTTTGATGTTTTATTAAAAAAATATGGGAAGAAACTGTTGGTCCACCCTATATAATGATACATATTTTCATCTGTTATACGCATTTCATGCATTTTTGCACTTAATATGAGATTTATAATTAAATTTTTCTCAAATGTATAAAAATCCACAATAACAACAATGGATAAATTTGTGGATAAATTTTAATAAAAGTTAGCTAAATTAGCTAAGTTAGCTAAATTAGTTAGCCAAAGTTAGATAAATTTTAATAAAATTTCAGAAATCGACAAAAAATTAACTTATCATACTTTTCATTTCTGTTCTGAGAGTAATGAAAGGTTTTCAGTAAAGAAACGGAGAACAAAAGAGCATAAGAATTCATCAGTGACACGAAGACAACACGTTAACAATCGTGCTAAATCATTACGTCCACGATAGATAATAATTATCTATCTACAATATTGTTTAATTGGGACATTAAGTCGAGTGACTTCGGTTTTCGTTTTGTTGTTTACGCAAATGATAGATTGAGAGTTTTTATTGATGTAGGTCAATGTTTCGCTAAACTCTCAATCATGATTTTTAATTTCTCCTAATTTTTTATTTTTTAAGTTCAGTTGTTTACACAAATGTAATAGTTTTGTGTGTCAATTCTGAAAGGTGCTATATAACCACATAATATATATATATGTATATGTAATAATATAGTTTATTTGTAATTACATTGTATTACTTTTGTCTATATTTTTATATTTATTTATAAATCACATAAATATTATCATAATATTATAGTTTATTATAATATTTATTTCATATCAAAATATAAAGAATAAAGCTACTGCCACTGAAATTATTATAACAATTGAAATATTGAAAAATATTTCAAACATTTAAAAAAGGAAAATATTTGAAAAAAATATTAAAGATAAATAAATATTGAAAAATATTTGATCAAATAAATATCCAAGATACTAATAGTCTAGTAAGATACTAAATAGCATAATACTAAATGGTCTAGTAAGATACTAAATAATAGCAAAATAAATGAGAGACAATATTCTGTCATGTGCAGAGACATGTTAATAAGAAACATTATTTACAGCAAATAGCCCTGAAACCCAAATCCGAGATGCGAGAACTATGGTCACATTTCCCTCTTCCATTGGACTTCAAAATTTATCTGTTCAACGTGACGAATCCAGCGGAAATCAGCGCAGGAGAGAAACCAATTGTCCAGGAAGTGGGACCATTTTTCTACGAGTAAGTGTTTCTAAAATTCAAAACAAACCAGATAAAGCGCAAGAACTTATTTCGTAATGATTAATGAACTAAGTTCTGAACTTTGACATGCAAAGATAATTATACATTAAAAAGAAATTAATTAAGAAATCATTATAGCAACAATATAATAAATAATAATATTATACCATTGTTGTAATTATATATATTTATATATATATATATATATATATATATATATATATACATGTGTATTAAATACAATAATATATTTTTCCAGATTTGTTTCAAGTTTGAGCAATATAATCACAATAGTGGGTCTCATTATGATGTTAATGAAATATAAAAACGTAGTCATACAACACATACATATAATATATTCATATAGAATAAAATTATTATTATAATACATACATATAAAATTTCCTACAAGTGTTCAAACAGCGAGCAATCATGAGTAACATAGAAACTGTTTCTCTTCTCCAGCGAATACAAGCACAAAGAAAATCTGGTTGATCGAGAAGAAGACGACAGTGTCGAGTACAACTTGAGAAATGTATGGTTCTTCAATCCGTCGTTAAGCAGCCCGTTAACCGGCGAGGAAGAACTGGTGGTTCCTCACCTCCTTATTCTCAGCATGATCAAACTCACTCTCGAGCAGCAACCAGGAGCGATAGGAATTTTGAGTAAGTCGAGCTGACACTTACAATTAGTTTTACATCGTTAAAGCACTCACGTGATCGAATGCGCAAGAAGAAACGTTTCAAATATAAATAGATTAATTATTATACAAACAAATTAGTGGAAATTATTCGTCATTTTTATTATTATTATTATTATTCGTATTTTACTATTATTATTAATTTATTATTATATTATTGTTATATTATTATTTTATTATTATAATTATAATTGTAATTATTTTTATTATTATTACTTCATCTCGTTACCTTATATCTTTTATCGCTGATATAAAGTACTATGATCTTTACGGCGCAGACGCAGTACAACACCCGCAAGTATAAATACGTAGAATGTGAGAAATCTGACACTTACGAGGAATCTCGCCTCTATTCCTTTTGCATTAAATCGAACGTACGTGAGGTTCGTTTCGATCCAAAAGTAAAGGTCGGCTTGGCCTTAGCTAGGAATACCTGAGAATGAAACGGTGGATTTTAAATGAAAGGGGGTCGAGAGAGAGGAACGTTTTACTTATGGCTAATAATAAGTTACTTACCCTCGCCTTGAACGAGCGGATCAATTGATTTGCGTAACGCCTCGTTGAAGCCCATCACACGTTTCCGTTTCCTTATTCATAGGATTCTTCCAGGTGTCTTTCGCGCGAATCAATTCCATATGGTTCTTTAGATACCTAGATGTAGAAAGCTAGAAAGAATTTGTGCACAGTTTATGTGCATTGTTTTATTATACCAATTATTTTGTTAAGGCTTATTTAATTATGTTAATTATTTTGCCGATTTTTGGACGATAATTAAATAGAATACTTCGAATTATGAAATATTATATCATTTAAATCATAAAGTATATATACAATATAATATAATTATAATTGAAGTATAAATGTAATATAACAATAATTATCTCAATTTATTTTGTATTCAATTGTAATTTATCAGCCATCATAGAATCATTGTCGTGACCAATATTAAAATTCACAGATAAGGCTGTGGATAACATCTTCCACAAACCTAGTAGCGTCTTCGTAAGGGCGAAAGCAAGAGAGATACTCTTCGATGGTTTACCTATCGACTGCACTGGGAAAGATTTCGCCTCGACTGCAATTTGCACTGCACTGAAGGAAAAGGAAGACGCTTTGATGCCTGGTGTTGAACCTGGACACTATTTGTTCTCCGTTTTTGGTCCTGTACGTACATACATTTACACGCCTGTTTGTTCTTATTCGTATATAACACAATGTGGTACAATCTATGATAATAAAAACAAGAAGACACTTGAGTATCTCCGTTGTCTTTGGAGACACGAAGGAATTTCATTATATTAACAAAAGTTGTTCAGCATAGAGAGGATTATTACTATTATATCGCAGTAATAATTTTTTCATAGTTAGTGAGGATTTGGATCTTTTAAAATGGAATCATATATATATTTCTTTATTTATTAATCAACACACTTCAATATTCTCTGTAAAAAAAAAATATTAAATGTATGTGACAGTAGATATTTTAATTTTAATTTCAGAAAATCTACTCTGTTTACATTCTGTAATATAGTCTGTATTAAAATTATGTTTATATAATTACATGTGTATAGATATTAAATATACCGTATAATATTATAATATGTAATATAGTATCTTATAAATGCATATTATACATTCATATGCACATAAATTAAATTATATTTCTCCGTATCTTCAAGTTAATCTAATCATTTGTAACTTAATTTTCATTTATTTATAAGTTTGATTCTGATGTTTTAGAAAAACGGAACCATTCTTCCTGACCGTATACGAGTACTACGGGGGATAAAGAATTACAAAGACGTGGGGAAAGTGGTCGAACTCAACGGACAGAAAATGTTGGATCTTTGGGCTGGGGATGAATGCAATACGTTCAATGGCACGGATTCGACGATATTCGCGCCATTGCTCACGGAAGAGGACGATATCGTGTCGTTTTCACCGGATATCTGTAGAAGCTTGGGTGCACACTTTTCTCACAAGACCAAAATCAAAGGTGAAACGTTTAAGTAATAAGCAAAATCATAATGTACAATTTATAAACAGTAAGAATACATGGGCCATTTCTTTTCTTTTTATTGTTCACCACGAAATAACTTTAATATTTTTGTCTAAGAGAAAAAAATGTATTTCAACAAGTATTTGCTAACAACTTCATTACTTCTTTTTTTCAACAAATCGTTTTTCAAGAAATTGGGAAGAGTACGTTTCAATACATGTATAATGTGTTGATGATCAAATGATCTGGCCTTTAATTCTTACTATTCTTACTTCTATTCTACTTTACAATATATAATAATAAACGTATAAATATATAATATAGTATAGTAAACTATATCATATATTATAGTATAATAATAAACTATATATAGTTTACTACATAATATCATATAATATAGTATTCTAATATAATTTACTATGTACAAAATATATATAAAATATAGCAAGCAGATAATAAAATATATAATATACATATTACAGTATACAGTAATATCCTAACTGTTGTTTTATTCATTTTATTTTCAATTTATTTTGCAGGTGTCAACACGTTTCACTATACAGCTGATTTGGGCGATATGAGTAAAAATCCTATGGAAAAGTGTTTCTGTCCTACGCCAGACACTTGTTTGACGAAAAATCTCTTCGACTTGACCAAGTGTGTAGGTGCCCCCTTTGTTGCTTCTTTACCACATTTACTTGGATCAGAAGAAAAATACTTGAAAATGGTTGACGGACTTCATCCAAATGATGTAAGTAACTTTGCTATCTTGAATAACGATCCTTAATAATCTCTCATTGATATAACACAATTAATTCTCGCTTCTTGCTTCAAATATTTCTCTTGTTTCTTATTTCTTGTTTGAAATTTTTATTATCTACTTTTGCCTAATCTTTCGAATTCATATTTTAGACTTCATATTTTAGAGAATATAATTAGACATATTGTAGGAAGCATATTGTACATACTTTCGATATTTTATGTACATATTCTTTTTATCATTATTTATTTAAATTTGAAGATAAAAATTAAAAATTAAAATTAAAAAATTAAAATCAAAAATTAAAATTAAAAAATTTGAAGGTAAATTTGAAGATGCACGAAGTACGTGTAGAATATCAAAAACGTTTAGAATATTTAGAAACAAATTTCTATTTTGATTCTATCTCTTTAGTAATGTATATAGAAATATTAAAATGCATAAAAATCCGCAGTTTCATAATAATGTATAAATAATAATATATAAAATACTATATAAACTATATTGTAATATAATATATGTTATGATATAAAACTTGTATAAATAACAATATACAAAAGAAGAAGGAGATGATTTTTATACGTATTTTTCTTGCAGGAAGAGCACGGACTTCACATGGATTTTGAACCGATGACAGCCACACCTTTACTCGCGCACAAGAGGCTGCAATTTAACATGTTCCTTCACAAGGTCGAAAAATTCAAGTTGATGAAAAACTTCCCAGAATGTTTGTTCCCTATGTTCTGGGTCGAGGAGGGTATATTGCTCCCCGACGAATTTGTGAAGAAGCTAAAGACCGTCTTCAAAACAATAAGCATAGTCGGGTATGTGTCGTTTCCTATATTTCTCGTAAAATTCAACCATCATAGCTTAGATCATTTAGATCTACGATTTATATTTTAATTGAAATTTCATGTGAAAACGTAGTCGACGTGATTTATTAATTATTTATTAATTTGCTATTTTAGTTATTAATTAATTTGCTATTTTAGTTCTTTTGTACTTTAATAGATTTAGTATTTATATAAATTTATATTAAATATATATTTATTAATTTATTATTTTATTTATTTATTTGTTATTTTATAAATTTGCTATTTTAGTTCTTTTTTACTTTAATAGATTTAGTATTTATATAAATTTATATTAAATATATATTTATAAATATATAATAGTATATATTATAATATAGTATAGTATATATTATAATAGCATAGCATAGTATAGTATAGTATAAATTTATAACAAAATTTATTTTAATTTTAGTTTAGTTTAGTTAACTTCATTAACGCTAAAATACACTAAACACTGAGATAGAAGGCACGTTATACTAATCGAAAATGACCGAAAAGACATAGTATCGTTAGGAAGCACAGGAACTATTTAAAATTTTAAACTACGATTTAAACAATTGTGATTTGTTATACAGATTTATGAAGTGGTTGACGATAATAAGCGGCACTTGCGTAAGCGGAGCAGCCGCCACAATGTTCTTCAAGAACAAGGACAAAGGTTCGATGGACGTGACTAAGGTAACACCGCAGTCGCAGAGTGGGAAGGACGGTGAAAAGAAATGGACTAATCAGATGAACATCAGTACGATACAGAGTGCAGCGGTACCGCCTAATCTCGACGGGAATTAAACTGATCGAAAGTCACTGTTGACTTCGTATTTTGTTTAACATGTACTTTGGTGAAAGTATTTCGAATGATTGTAAGCGGGAGAATGTTGTCCATAATCGTCGTAATTTGACACTGATAATAGGATCGCGTTTTCTTAGGTCTCGCGTTCAGAGGATGATCCTTTTCAGTATTTCATTCTTTTGGAAATTTCTGTTCTTTTTTTAGAAAACTGGCGAACCGAGCTTGTACACTTTGAGACAAAAGAAGATTCTGTCTTTAGACTATTAACTGCAAGAGTTTAATTATTTATAAAAAAAAACTTTTAGCAGCATTGTGTTTAGAATAATTTTTATTTGCTTTGTTTAACGATTAATTCTGTGTGTAATTCTATACTGCATGGAATTAAATTGACATTGAAATTTGCACGTAACTTAAATAATAAAATTCAAATGACTACAAGTAGTTAATTTGATTGGTGTAGTGAAAATTTCAGATTGTTCAACAAAAATTTACATTCTTAAAATTTTTGTATGATTATTCATTTAATTCCAAATATTTTGTTTCTTCTATTCATACGTTGCATTATATCTATGAGTATGAATTAATAATTCGTAGGTGAACTGGTGAAGCTTGGATCATGCTTTAAACAAGATTTATATTTATGTAAGACTATCAATCGCTCACATTTTCTCAATTACCTCAGGAGCATGTTACGAGTATTACTCGACTATTACTAATTTCTAGGAATTTACTCTATTACTAATTTTAAGAAAATTTTAAACATTGCTGGACGAGTAATAGGAAAATTTTAAAGAAAATTCGTGTTGATTTGATTTTAAAACTTGTTAGAAAATTTATGTCAATAATTTTGAAGTCAGTTAAAATAAATTCACTGTTAACAGGTTTGTCTTTCTTTCTTATTAATTATAAGTTTAATGTTCCATCAATTGCAACATTAAATTTTATTTCAATTAAATTTTATTTTAGTTTAATTTTTAATCATTTTAATTTAGTTACTTTAATTAATATAATTGACATCGTTCAACTTTTGAAAATTTCTCCCACCTGCAACCTCTTATTGATAGTAATTTCATGATATTGAAATTTCGTGTGAATGTATTTTTATTACAGTATATTATTTTATTATTGTTTACGATATATATTATACTTACTAATTGTAATAAGTGCACTTCTATCCATGTAAGGCGTATATCGCCGAAAATTTTGAATATTTTTATCTATTTTAAGGAAACCGTTTTAAAATGAATGAAGCGCGTTTGTTCATTTGAAATATGTAATTTCAAACTGGCTCAATCTGTTGCACAGACTACTAAGATAAGATGTAAATCACGAAATAATAGGATAATGAATGACTTTGTTACATTCGTCAAAGCGTAAAACAATGTCAACTAACATAACATTGTCAACTGGAAATGTTATCTTAATAAAATATGATTTTATATAATTATTGATTTCATTGATGATTATATTAATTAAATTGTAAATCATTCATTTATAATTGTAAATTATATTAATTTAATTTAATTACATTAGTATGAAAAGGTCAGTGTAAAATTCATTCATCATGTATATTTTGATATTTCAAACAAAACAAAATTATATACTGCGTTTATGATAGAAAAATCTTTGGTATAGATATTATTACATTCAAATTAAATTATTATGTATTTGTAAAAATTTTTTTATAGAGTTACATTTTTAATATTATAATTAATATACAATAATATATATTATACATATTATATAATTTTATTATATTTAATATAATACACATATAATATATAATAAAATATTTTATATATCTTATTATATATTTATTACATCTTCTCCTATTAAAAACATTTCTAATTGACAATATTATGTTTTAAATTTGTATAGTATTTCTATCTGTCAGTAATATAGTCAGCCACAGAAGTTTATATATGTACATATATCTGACAAATTTCAAATATTTACAATAATTAAATCTTGAATCAATCAAAACTTAATTAAATTAATTTGTTAGCCAAAATTAAATCATATCTAAAAGATTAATAATAATCCTTTCATGACAAAATTATTCATAATTTATAACTTTTATTATAATAAAATTTATGATTTTATAAATAAAAAATGCTCTTTAAATATTTGGAACGTGATAAATGTATGTATGCAGATTTCTGCGAATATATTACATGTACAAGTCGTAAACGCTTTAAACGTTTATCTATGTGATTATGTTAGCACATTTATCTTTTCTTTTTCTTTAAATTTAAAATTTATAATTTAAATCAATTGAACCAGCGATTTTCCTTTCCCACTAATTTTGCTACAGTGTTTTCTGTATTGAGTAAATTTTTAATTTGTTAATTTTTAGCTAAAGATAAGATATACACTTTAGATATATTACTGTTACTAAACTTGTACATTTTCTTATCATTTAATGGCTTCAGTGGAAAAATGGTACAAATGCATTTTTATTTTCCAAATAAAAAATAGTACAAAATCTGCATTTGCAAATCTTTATATTTCAAGAATTAGAAGATTCGTCACTTGTACCATATTTCTTTTGGATTCCTTCTGAATGTTACGACATTTAAATTGTAATTTAAACCCAAATTGAACCCCAGAAATAAAGAAATAATATTTTCTAATGAAATATATTCAAATACCTTTCATTTATTAAGCATGCACCATGTGGATCATCCTAAGATGCCAGAATTAATTTATATTGTTATCCTCCTTGTCTACCGCGCGTGTATGTCTGTCCTTGTTACACGCTGCTGCTCTCCTTGTCTACAGCATGAATATATTTGTCTTTGTCGCACGATACTGCCCTCCTTGTCTAATGACGCTGGACAAGGAAAGCAATAGTGTGCGACAAGGATATCCTTCGATCTATTGAAAAAAAATTCAACTTCTTACACGTACGTTTTTCTAGAACAAAACACACATAAGAAGAAAGCAGAGAGCATAATTTTAAGGAAGCATATAAAAAAGTTCGCAACTTATTCCTCTTAATTAGGTTTTTTTCGTAATTAGTACGAACTGTCAGAAAAGGACATGGTGGCGCCATCTAGCGGTGATTCAGTGGTACTAATTAATTACAAAAATAGTTATTTCTGCATTTTACGGGTCAAATGGGATATGAAAAGAAAGTTAAGGGTCTAATTAGGGTACTACAATCACTAAAATTCACAATTCATTTCGCCAAATTAGGTTTTTTCGCAAATGAAAATTTCTCTGTTTTAAGGGGGAACGAAACACTAGCGCCACGTTGTGGCAGACCGGTGGAACTAAAAGTTCTGTAACCAGATAAGGGGAATAATTAATTTTAATTTTTCACACTACTAATTTGCACTCCATGAGCATATATTTCAAAGATAATGCTTTCAGTTACGTTCGCAAATAAATCTAATTCTAATATTCATTATAGTTTGCGCGAAATTATGCACACACTAATGACACTGTTATTAACGTAAAAGAAATTTAAACATTCTTTATATACGCAAACTATACTTAAACAAGACATAAAACGCAAGCTTAGGGTCTCTAAAATCGAAGACATAACCATAACAGTTCACAAATGATTCCTCTTAATTAATTTCTTCTCGTGATTTGTGGAATAATTGTCACCTGTCAATATTTAAAGGCAATGGTGGCGCCATCTATTGATAACTTGGTGGTACTAAAAGTAGTAAATTCTGTTTTTAGTACCACCAAATTATCAATAGATGGCGCCACCATTGCCTTTAAACATTGACAGGTGACAGTTTTTTCACAAATTACGAGAAAAAATTAATTAAGAGGAATCATTTGTGAACTGTTATGGTTTCGTCTTCGATTTTAGAGACCCTAAGCTTGCGTTTTATGTTTTGTTTAAGTATAGTTTACGTATATAAAGAATGTTTCAATTTCGTTTACGTTAGTAATAATGCCAGTAATAAGTGCATAATTTCGCGCAAACGAAAGTTATAGTGAATATTAAATTAGAGTGAATATTAAATTAGATTTAGTCTATATAGTGAATATTAAAATTAGATTTATTTGCGAACGTAACTGAAAGCATTATCTTTGAAATATATGCTCATGGAGTGCAAATTAGTAATGTGAAAAATTAAAATTAATTATTCCCCTTATCTGGTTACGGACCGTTTAGTTCCACCAGTCTGCCACAACGCGGCGCTAGTGTTTCGTACCCCGTAAAACAGAGAAATTTTCATTTGCGAAAAAACCTAATTTGGCGAAATGAATTGTGAACTTTCGTGATTGTATTACCCTAATTAGACCCTTAACTTTCTTTTCATACCCCATTTGACCCGTAAAATGCAGAAATAACTATTTTTGTAATTAATTAGTACCACTGAGTCACCGCTAGATGGCGCCACCATGTCCTTTTCTGACAGTTCGTACTAATTACGAAAAAAACCTAATTAAGAGGAATAAGTTGCGAACTTTTTTATATGCTTCCTTAAAATTAGGCTCGCCGCTTTCTTCTTATGTGTGTTTTGTCCTAGAAAAATGTGCGTGTAAGAAGTTGAATTTTTTTTTCAATAGATCGAAGGATGTCCTAGTCGCACACTATTGCTTTCCTTGTCTAGCGTCATTAGACAAGGAGGGCAATAGCGTGCAACAAGGACAGACATACACGCGCGATAGACAAAGAGAGCAATATTGTGCGACAGACATATCCGCGCGGTAGACAAGGAGGGCAATAGCGTGTGACAAGGACAGACATATTCGCGCCCTAGACGAGGATAGTGATAGTGTGCGACAAGGAAAACAATATAAATTAGTTCCACCGTTTCCCCGCTACGCGACGCTAGTATTTTATTTAGTCTCTAGCGGCTAATTCATTGAGTCTTTTTTTAGTATACCAACTTTAAAGACACTAATATTATAAATCGTAAATGGATGCCGCTTAGCTACGGATCATGTACGATCTTTAGGTTAAGCGTACAGCGTGCGGAACACTTCTATAATGAGTGCCGTTTCTTGGCCCAAGCTAGAGGTTCCTAATAAACCGGGCGTCTGAGTTTAGGGATCGCCGGTATCAGCCCTATTGATGAATCTGGTGGTGACTCTCGGACGAAATACACTCAACCTTCTGTATCTTTTATAACCTTATATTATACATAAAATCTTCCGCTACAGAAATTTCACCTTTAGTACCATCTACTGACGAATTGCAAATTATATATTTTCAGTTGTATGTAGCTGTATCTATGTACAAAAATGAAAAGTCCCATGCAAGGAAGCAGTTTCTTCTCTCAGTAACCGACCCACTAGGTTTTACGTGACACTCTCAGCCAATAGGTATTCTTAAATTTAAGAGTGGATTGGAAATAACCAACCAGACTCACATTCTTTTAGGGGAACTTCTCATCTCTGCACGACATGTATTGATGCAAGTATAAGTCATCGTTTCGAATCTTGAGATTATTGAGTTATTACAGTTGAATTCAGTAAGAATATATTTAATTTTATACAAAATATAGAAGTAATAATATATCAAACTTTACAATTTGTTTTGCTTCGGGGGTTACGAGAGAAATGATTGTAATTATAGAAGATGAGAAACTAATTCTTTTATAGAAAATCATTTATGGTGATTCACTTAATTGCTATTTTATGTCTAAACGAGTAAATATGTTTCATTGCGTTTGTGGTATTAAGCATTCCAGTCAGAAGATTCCGTTTATAGCTTCAGAACCAATTTTGTTGGTAACATGAATGTACTTTTCTTACTGAAATAAAAAAATTAATTTTCATGGTAATAATCTGCTCACTTTAGTACAATGAATAAGTAATATCAAATTTATACTAATTTTATATATTTTAAATAGATTTGAATATCGTAGTAACTTACTATTCAAGTCATTTTGCAATACCAAATTCGCCATTATTTAGTTCATGCGTTGTAAAAAAATGTATACGTTAATAAATCAGAAAACAATTAATTCAATAACACTGTCACAAACGAATATATAACTCAATAATTTATCAAGTTGATGATATCCAAATAAGTATCAATCCTCGAATTCAATTGTATATTTCTTTTTTTTACAAATTTCTTTTTATCGAATATTTTATGTTTCTGAATTATTCTATCCCAATTTATAATATATATATTCGATGTACTACACTATGAGGAATAATTGAAGAAACATCAGATGTGATTATCTTTTTCACTCTGTTAATTAGAATTAGTCGAATTTCTAGTTCGTGATTATAGACTTCAATTGTTGGATACTTCTTTCAACCAATTCATAAACAAATGATTCGAAATAAACTATCTGCGGATGTAGATACTTAAAATAAAATAACACGGAAGTAAACATATATTGCTTCGATAGATTCCGTGTTATAGCAGTGTAACAGTGTTATAAATGCAACTCGTAGAAGTTTGCAATTCGAGTCTGTAACAGAACCCTCATATTTAATACATTCGGCACTCTCGCGTTCGATAATCGTTACACTTAACGTGAAAGAACAACGTAGCATCACGTAAATAGATAAAAGCTTAGTTTCGTCATATAAGAATTGTAATTGTTTCATTGTTTTATCGTTGGAATTCACAACGTTGATAAGAATAAAGAAAATGAAAGAAAGAAGATGATCTTAAACATAATTCATTGTTTACTAATGTGTCATTTACTTATTCTATTGTAATTTAGTTTTCGCAAAACCAAGATAGAATTGTTTAGATGACAATCGTTTCTTGATAAATGTTACATAAAGCGTATCTTAATAATTTCAAAGTCAGGTAATGATTGAAAGATGTTCCGAAGATATCACGCAATTGTTTGCGTTACATACTTTGATCATCTCTTCAAATTAAGACAATTCTTAATTCTACGCTTGTGTACAAGAGTGAATATAAAAATAGGTACTTTTATGTAAAATATATTACAACTAGTGTGACTGTTAAATAAACAATTAATCTCAGTTGATTGAATATCCAATTTCATTAATATCTAATATTATTAATAAGAATATGTTAATAATAATATTTTACTGCTTACGTTATCTATCGATCATTATCATTTGCAAATTTATAACAAATTCGAGAATACAGCGATTAAATGTTTTAACCAACAGCCTGATAATCTTCGTCATTTTTCTAAAATTTATTACGTAATCTAATAGATAAAAAATTCAAGTAAAATTGCAATGAAGAGTATAAGTATATCGTTATCGATGAAAAAATTGTTTATATCTTAAACTGTCGTAACTTTGTAAGAAGAGATCATATGACAATGCATCTGGCGTCTACTTCGACAATTTTGAGTTTGTTTTTACATCACACAAGTGAAGACGCACTCATTCTCGAAAGAATGATAGAAAACTTAAACGTCTCTAGAAACATTGAAAAATTCTTTTCACGACTGAATCCATCATGATTCTGAAGATGAATACTTCCTCGTTACGACGAGTCCTTGAAACTTGATGTGCGATTTTTGTTTCATCATTTTATCGAACTTTGATTAATCAGGATTAAAGCACAATATATTAGAATTTCTCGAGTTTCTCGTCATTTGATTTTCTAAAGTTCAAAGTTTATCGTGGTAGATATAAAATTTAAATGAATTTTCTTCAAACGAAGAGAACTTTGTTTAGCAGGAAATGGTTGATCATATCAAGGTTGTTCATATCAAACAATGGCAAATAGCGTAAAAAGATCAGCGATACACGTGGTGATGCACGAGTGGACACGTGTCTAGTAATCGTTGGATGACCGAGCTCAAAACTTCTTTCCAAGTTCTTTTACGTAGCTACTTGAAGATCCACGGCACTGGACGAAGAAACCTCGCGTACTCTCTTCTCGATCGACGTCGTATTCACTAGCTCGGCCAAATGAAGGTGTGCGAATAAGCTTCGCGAAACGTAACTCTTCGTTTAACTTTTGTTGATAATATTTAAAACATAAAAGAAGGACCGATGTATTATTAAAGGATATTAAAGAAAAGAAATATTTAAGAAGAATTATTGAAGATTGTTATAAGAAAATATTGTATTAAGGAATATGAAAAGATATTAAATGTTATAGAATTCAAGAATATTAAGAAGATATTAAAGAATTTTGATATTCTATTCTTAAAGAATATTAAACTTTATATAAAAATTTTAATTTTTCTTCTTTATATAGTTTAAGAGTATAGTCTATAGTTTGTTTCATTTTACAATTCTTTCTTTCTTCTTATTTCATTCATTATTCATTTATTAATTATTTTTCTTTGCTTTAAATTGCTTGTTCTCTGTATTCAATGTATTCATAGCAAGGGTAGAAAATTTTCATCTTTTCTTTTACCGTCTTATTTACACTTTCCTTTTCATTCTCTTCTCCTTTCCTTGATATCCACACATTAAGGAACAATATTCTCTTTTTTTATCTTCTTTTCTACAAAAAAAATACCGTAATTACTAATAATTATTTAACCAGTTTCTTTTTCCTGCTATTATTTCTCAACAATTTCTTTCATTCCATGGTATAACATAGTCAAAAATCTGAAACTAAATTCATAATACTACGAATTCACAAATTCTTCATTTATCCTATATTTTGAAGGCTCCAAGATGTTATTACAACAGTCAAACGTTATTGTTCTGGTGTATTTTGTCTCTATATATTCCGAATTCTATATATCTTTATTCGTGTAAATCTGTGTATATTAGTGGATTCATCGACAAAGTGTCTGATCGAAAAGTGGCGATAATAGCGACGACTGTAATTGTTTTTAGTGTGTGTTACTATGAAGCCGAAGAAATTGGGCATCATCGGTGGTTTCTTCCTCGTTTTCGGATTTTGCGTGATCGCGTTTCCTCCGTTCTTCAAATCGCAGCTCAAAAAGGTGAGTGCGCAAACTGAAACTTTACAAATTATTTATATACTTGTTATGAATATTATTTCATTGGTTTCATTGTGGTGACGTTATAAATTCGAACGATGTTTTGTTTTAACTGAAAATTAATTCTAAAATGAAATAACGTAGGATAGAAATAGTATATTAATAAACTGTGAAAGTTATGTACATATGTATATGTACCTAATAGAATTAATAATTTAAATTCAACAATTTATTTCCATTTTTTCTGAGTTTATTTTTCTTCAAGTTGAAAATTTATTTCTCGTTTTAAAAAATGAAATTACCCAATTAATGATACAATTATTTACTGTATGTACACATATTTAGTAAAGTATTAGATAAAGTATTAAGAATAAATTTACTAAATATATAAGTAACTTTCATTTATTAATACTGTTTTATTTTATTATTATTGTTATTATAGTCAGTACGATATATATATATGTAAAATATGTAATAATTAATTTGATACCTTCACATTGAATTTTTAAGTTTGGATGCTCTTCACATGTTTAAAACATGTTGTAGATTACAAAAAGAGGCAATATTTGTCTCAAGATACTTTTGAATGTTACGTGCAAATATTAGTTAGAAAATCATCCACAGCGAGTAACTCTGAAACCTAATTCCACGATACGAAAATTCTGGTCACATTTCCCTTTTCCATTGGACTTCAAAGTTTATCTGTTCAACGTGACGAATCCAGCGGAAATCAGCGCAGGAAAGAAACCAATTATCCAGGAAGTGGGACCATTTTTCTACGAGTAAGTGTTCCTAAAATGAAAACAAACCAGATAAAGCGCAAAAACTTATTTCGTAATGATTAATGAACTGAATTGTGAACTTTGACATATAAAGATAATCATGTATTAAAAAGAAATTAATTAAGAAATCATTATAACAACAATATAATATTATTATTATTAATTAATAAATAATATTATTATTATACTATTATTGTAATTATATATATTTATTTGTAATTACTGTAATTATATATTGTAATTATATATACTTAAATATTTTCCCAGATTTGTTTCAAATTTGATCAATATAATCACAGTAGGGTTTCATTATAATGAAATATAAAAATATTGTGTGTCATATAACACACATACATGTAATATATTCACAAAAATTTCCTGTTGTATTAAACATTTCCAAATATTTCTCTTCTGTAGCGAATATATACACAAGATAAATTTGGTTGATCGAGAAGAAGACGACAGTGTGGAGTACAGCACGAGATCTACTTGGTTTTTCAATCCGTCGTTAAGTAGCCCATTAACTGGTGAGGAAGAGCTAGTCATTCCTCATCTCTTTATCGTCAGCATGGTCAAACTTATCTTCAAATACCAACCAAAAGCTGTAGGAGTGCTCAGTAATTATCGACACTTATTTTTATATTGTCAAAGAACTCACATATCGAATGATTTCTCTGATTTGGAGCCAAGAAGAAACTTTTCAGATAAAAATAAATAAATTAGTCGAAATTATTCATTATTTCAAATTGTTATATCTTTTATTTCAAGACTATTATAGTCTTTGGTAGACGTATTACTGCACCCAGTATAAATATGTAGAATGTAAGAAAACTGACGTTCGTTTTGATCCAAAAGTAAAGCTCGGCTTTAGTTAGAAATACCTGTAAATAAAACGATCGATTTTTGATGAAAGAAAGTTGAGAGAAACTTGTTCTAGTTGTGACCAACAACAAGTTACTTACTCTCGCCTTGAACGGATATCATTACACATCATGTTTCCATTTCCTTATTCATACCTTCTTTCAGGTATCATTCACATGAATCAGTTTCATATAGTTTTCTACATAGATTTGGAAAGTTGAAGAACTCACAGTGAACAAATATCTTTAAAATACTTTGGATAAAATATCTTCCAAATATTTAAGTTGGAAAATATTTCTAAAATAATTTTAAATTTTCTTGTTAGATTGACTAAGTATTATTTAAATTATTTTTAAATATAAATGTGAACGTTTACTTTTGGCATTATCTCACGTTGGATATTTGAACTCTACATTCAATCTATAGTTTTGTCTAAAATTAAGTTATTCATTATTTCCTTAATAAAATTTTACATATAATTTTTGGTACATTGCAAACATAGAGAAATGGAAAATTTTATAACATATTAAATTTTTAGTTGTAGTAAAATATAATATATATATATATATATACTATAAGTATTACTATATAATGTAATTATAAAGTTGTAATGCAATAATAATTACAATATAATAATTATAATATAATTACAACTAGAACATAAATCTAATATAATAATAATTATTTCAACTTATTTTCTACCTAATTATTACTTATGAAGTATCATAATCATTGACTTAACATTAAAATTCATAGATAAAACTGTGGACACTATGTTTCACAAACCCAGTTCCATCTTCGTAAGGGTGAAAGCAAGAGAGATTCTCTTCGATGGTTTACCTATCGACTGCACAGGGAAAGATTTAGGTTCGAAAATAATTTGCAACGTATTGAAACAAAGAGATGACGTTTTCATACCTGCTGGATCTGGACAGTATTTGTTCTCCATTTTTGGTTTTGTACGTACATATATTTACACGCCTGTCTGTTCTTATTCATATATTATACAATGTGGTACAATATATGATAATAAAAATATGAAGACACTTGAGTATCTCCGTTGTCTTTGGAGATACGAAAGAATTTCATTATATTAACAAAAGTTGTTCAGCAAAGAGAGGATTATTATATCGCAGTAATAATTTTTTCATAGTTAGTGAGGATTTGGATCTTCATTTTTTTTAAATGGAATCATATATATATTTTTTTTTACTTATTAATCAACACAGTTCAATATTCTCTGTAAAAAAAGATATTAAATGTATGTGACAGTAGATATTTCAATTTTAATTTTAAAAAACCTACTCTATTTACATTCTGTAATATAGACTATGTTAAAATTATATTTATATAATTATATGTGTATAGATATTAAATATATTATACAATATACTTATAATATGTAATATAATATCTCATAAATACATATTATGCATTCATACGCACATAAATTAAATTATATTCCTCCGTATCTTCAGGTTAATTCAATCACTTGTAACTTGATTTTCATTTATTTATAAGTTTGAGTCTGATGTTTTAGAGAAATGGAACCATTGCTCCTGATCGTATACGAGTATTACGGGGGACAAAGAATTACAAAGACGTGGGGAAAGTGATTGAACTGAACGGACAGAAAAAGTTGAATGTTTGGTCCGGGGATGAATGCAATACGTTCCATGGCACGGATTCGACGATCTTCGCGCCAATTCTCACAGAAAACGAGGATCTCGTGACGTTTTTATCGGAGTCTTGTAGAAGCTTCATTTTACATTACTCTCACAAGAACAAAGTCAAAGGTGAAGCTCTTAAGTAATAAGGAAAATCATGATGTATAATCTTTCGTTTCTTTTGTTTTGGTCATCCCGACAATAACTTCAATATTTTTACCAAATACAAAAAAATGTTATTTGATAGCAACAAATACTCTGAGTTCAGTTTTTTTTTTTTTTTTTTTTTTTTAGAAAAATTGAGATTCACTTGGTTTGAAGACTTAAAGAAGAATTCGGTTAATACGACATTAACGAC